CCAAAGAGGAGAATAATGGTGTATGTGGGCCCTCCCATATGTATTTTACTGTTAATTATTTGCAGGAGTCAAAAATTGGATGAAAATCACGTCTAAATTGGTTTTCAAAAGAGTTCCAATCGAATAAGGAAAATTGTCTTCGCGAGCAGATTTTTTGTCTCTACACAGCAGTCAGTATTTTGATCATAACGTTCTCTCCTGATATCCGATTTAGGCGATTAAAAGTGAGTTGAAAAGATAACTCAAAGAGATGCAACTTTGATAAAATAGATTTATTCCAATTGGAATGTTTATTATGCCAAAAATAGGTCTCAATATTTGGCTAAAAATTTGAAATATATCTTTTGCAAATTTGAAACTGATTTTGATAATATTTTGATCATATCACATTCCACTTTGAATTCCAATTACATCCAATTGTCTCCTAACAATCTTCAAAGTATCTTCTTGTGGTACGAATCAACTATTGAGATTTGCAATTTGGTCTTCCAACTTTTATTTTCTTTCATTTTGGTCCATTTTTCCTTATTTCTTCCCAATTTCGCTATATTCATCGTGTTGTCCTACAAAACATAAATTGCATAAAATTTAGTCATATTTTAACATATTAACCAACAATTTTTCATACTTTAACAGTAAAATAAGTGTGTAAAAACGCACTTATCACGGGGCAATATTGTCTTTGGAGAAAGTGTTTTCACTTTCCTCGGATTTCGTTTTTCTTTTGTTTTCTTTTTCTTACTTTCTTTCTTTGTAGTTTAATTACGCTCCTGTGAATTGAACTAATATAATTCCTTGTCTTGAATAACCATTTACATATTCTACCGCACATCCACCAACAGTTTTGAATGCTTTCTAAAGAGAAAAAGACGTGAAATAATGAATGGAAACACGGTAGAATAAATTTCAAGGACAAACGCGGACTTGGCTTTTGGAAAGCAAGACCTGAGGCCACAGGTTCCCGGTGCGCAACCAAGTGCGACCTGCATGTTCTCAAGACCTAAATTTTGCGGTCACGAGTAGTTGATAGTTCAAATCTTTGGTAGAAAATTGTGTTTTTTCACCATGCATTTTGTCCATTGATTCAAAGGGTGCCTCCAATATCTATATATATTGATGATTGTTGGATGGAAAACATTAATTCTTCAGTCTTAAGCTCTTCATTATTCCTTAGTTGTTAACTCTCAAGGATTGATTAATACTAGGAGCTATTTTTTGGTGTATCCCGTAAGCAATCTCAAGGACGAGATAGGACACATATCATTTTAGGATAACGCTTTCTATGTGTTCAAGTTTATTCTTTACTTTTTTATGATTTTATCTTATCTCCATCTTCTACATTTATTGTTGACGCAAAGCAAAACAAGGAATTCAAGCGAAAACCTTAAGAAAACAATTTTAGAATCCACCAAATTATGAAGAAATAAACTCACGAAATTTTATTAATGTAAGATGATGAAAAACGATGAATTAACCATTTATTTATAAGAATTTATATGAAAACCTAGTTTAAACAAACTAAAATTGTAAAGAATTAGAAATAAATTAAATGACAAAATTAGCAGTTAAACTTTAAAAATAGCTTTCAATTCCTAAACAAACTCGGAATGGTATTATGTGCCCAAATCGGAGTTTAAACGCCACACTCGCACTATTACGTTTTTCTTTTTTTGATCCAATTCTTTTTCAACCCATTCAGCCATTTGTTCTACATTAATGATATTTGACTCTTCTCTTATTTTGATATATATATATATTTAGGAATGCCAATTTGGCTCGTCGATTCGAGAGGGCCGTGGCTCAGCTCGTAACTCGATGAAACCGAGCCACTTTTTCGAATTACGGCTCGAGCTCGAGCTAGCCGTGACATGACAAGGCTGTCAACCTGCCTGAAGCAGGCTGACAACCGTCAGGCGGCCAAAACAATGAATTTTGAACATTAATAATGGCATCATATAAGAGGTATTGTCGTGATATCCTATCTAAAATCCTATGCATTTGCTTTTGACGAGCTTGCTAGCATGGGCACCGTGGACGCCGCACGGAATTCCAACGATATCAAAGCAGAATGCACGATTGATATTGAATGCCCTGGACGTATTCTCGTAACAGATGATGATTAAGGTGATATGATTGAATCATTAACAAACACAAAATAAGAATTTAAACTATAATAGAAAGCTACTTCAAATTTATTCAAACGTTCGACTGCAAAAATACAATTCTACATCTTTTATAGCTTTAATATAAAAGAAACTGCTGCATACACAACCCATGCAAAGGAAACTGAAATGAAAGTAATCTTGATAGGCATTCTTCCATTATCACTTCTTAGAAACATGGCTTCATAAATAGGCCAACAATTCACTACCCCAAAACTTGCAATAAGCATCTGAAAAATCAAGGAGTCCATATTTTCGCCCCTTAGGATTTTCAGAAAACCCATAATCAACGCTGTTAAATTCAAAACTGCACCTATCGAAAATGGCACGAAAATGGGTGAGGGAACCCCAAATTCAAATTTCCCTTCATAATACCTTTTGTTTTGTTCATTGTCAACTACTTTGCTGGTTACTTCAAACCCTCTTGTGGCAATGCCCAAGTGATTGATAATGTGCTCTAACGATCCGAATAAATCAGAAGACAGTGACCTTATGAGCCACATTCTTTGATCGCTCCACCACCGTAGGATTGTCCCTCGGGCTAAGACGAACTCCAGGCAATCTTGTCCATAGGCCCCAAGAAATAGGAATATGAACAAGAAAAACCATGGATCCCATACCTATAACAAATGTTCAGAAGAGAGAAAATAGAATGGACGGATGGTGTAGAAAAGAGAATGAGAAAAATGGCCATTGTTTTTTGACTTCCATACAGTACTTTTCTCTTCCATGTTTCGCTACCCACGGATGAATCAAGGGTGGGTTTGTTGTATCAAGGAAACTAGAAGATAAATATTTTATAGGAGAAAGGTCAATAATGGTAAAAGAAAAGGATGCCATAAGTTAAAATGAACATGTTTAATGAACTCGATGAACCTTGAAATGACCACATCAAGTACACTGAATTGAATGAAGTACGTTCAGTGAACTGAGCATGTAGAGTACAATAAATTGACATGATATTCTGACCAATACGATAAATTAGTTTTAAACAAAACAGTAAAAACGTGGCCATTATTTACTTTTCCCATCATGTGACTTCTACTTCAAAAAAATTCCTCTTGTTGTTTCACTTGTTACGTACCTTTGGGAAGACAGAGAAGTTGTTGAGCAGGGCTATTTGAGGAAGGCAGGCGTACACTGCGACAGGGAATGACATAAGGGGGCCCAAGGCATAGTATATGTAACAATGAGCCTGTAAAGGTCCAAGAAACCGAATGCCAAAGACTAAAGGACTATGCTTGGAGAAAGACACCTCCAGGAGGCCTAAGGCCCATCTCTTGGTCTGGGTCAGTGAATCATTAAGGGATAGTGGCATTTCGCACAAGAACGATGCTCTTTCGGGATTACAATATACTGACTTCCATCCCTCGCAATGAAGCCGATAACCGGTATAATAGTCCTCGACTAACGAGCCATATCTAAACCCAATCTGCAAAATACAGAAGAACCTGTGGTTTCAATAAATTGATAATGCTGTACATAGATGACGACCAGAAAATGTCATTTTTAATGTAATAAAAGGCATACCTTGGAACCCCAATTGGTCTGGTTCTCATAATTGCAACCTGCTACATGGTGGGCTAGCTCTAAAATTGAAAGATTTTTTATACTCCTCTCAACAAAATTATCTGGGTTCAATTCCTCAATTTCTGGTTCGATAAATGATGATGGGGCACCATAGAATATGCGTCGACGAAAAAATGTACCAGTCCCAAAGTAATCCGGGCCTGACAAACCATTCATGCCCACCGGGTTTATATAAAACGCACGCCTAAACTCGGACCCTTAGATATCGGCCTTGTTAAGCCCATCAAAATGTTGAGGGTACTGAACAAAACCCAATTTTGGAGAATTGTCCAAGAAGTGACACAGCATTTGATGAGGCGTCGATGGATCATTGGATATCATGTCACAATCTAAGGTCAGTATAATTGGTGCATTTGTCATTACTGCCGAAACTCGAAGCTTTAGAACAGACAAAACACGCACAATTATATTAGACAAACAAAAATGATGTTTGAGATTGTCAACTAATTAGGTTATAAGCAATTTGTCAATATATTACCAGTGCATTAAGGGCTCCTGCCTTAAAATGGTGCTCGGATGTCCTGCACTTCTCTCTAGACACATAGACGAGATTTGGCATAGAATGGCCTCTAATATCCTTCTCATTCCCAGCTTGTGACACTACCTGTCCAACATAGTATCTTCTAGGAAACAAATATCCATATGTTTCTCATTGATTTCTCTCTAGACAAACAGACGAGATTTGGCATAGAATGGCCTCTAATATCCATTAATTTATACTTGGTTGCTTCATCGTAAAAACAAGCCACCAAAAAACTCAAGAAACCCGACAACATATTTGATACAATGTAAAGTTGAAGATTGTCATGATTCAATATATCACATTTGAGCTCAAGGAATTGATACATGGTTTAATGGTTTAGTATCAATATTTACTTTTACGACCAATCAAATTTTACTAATCAAATTAAAATACTTCCAACTGAATTCTGCTGAGTGATTAATAATTGGTAAAATACAATAAAAGGACGTAATTTTACCTGAATTACAGTGGGATGATCTTGACGAGCAAATCCCTCGTTCCATTTGCCAAAGGCTTCAGCTTCTTCCTCGCTGGTTTTGTACTCGTCAATAATTTTCCCTTTCTCAACTACACTTTCTACTCTTCTTTTAATATTCTCATACATCGTCTGCAGTGAAATCTAGATTTAAGTTTTAACCTTTGTGGCATGTTTGATCAGTTAGATAGTAACGAAGAAATCGAACAGTAACACAGTTTTAAAAAAAAAAAAGCCTAATTGTTAGAAATATTGGGTGTAACTCCACTTAATAAAACCGACTTATTTGGGGATGATTTTCCTCAACTTATTAAGTGGATCATTTATATTTTTC